GACCACGAACTCACCGGGAAGAAGGAACAACTCCAGACGCGTTGCCTTTAAGAGCTGTAACACACACTGCGAAGGTCTGCAGCTTCATTCCCATCAGCGAGACCATGAACCTACCAGAAGGAAGAAACTGCGGACACAGCTGAACAGCTGAAGGAACAAACTCCAGACACACCATCTTTAAGAACTGTTAACACTCACCGCGAGGGTCGACGGCTTCATTCTTGAGGTCAGCGAGACGAAGAACCCACTAATTTCAGACACAGTATGATTGGAAAAAAAAAAAGAAAAAAAAAAAAAACGTAAAAAGGCAGAGAGATACTAGTCCACCAGAAGAGCAAGACCATTCAGAGGCAAAACTCCTTATCAAATGAATTCAGAAGTAATTAGACATCCTTGTTATGTAAAAGCGGCCTCTGGTATCAAATTTCTTTTCCAAAAATACTTGTGAGTAAGTAGAATTTCTATACATCTCTGGAATGCATGTATTCTAAACTCATTGTGCAAACATTGCTGACATCAAGGCACCAAAATGTCTGTAAATGTAATCCTTTACCATGACTTATGTTGCTAATATGGTTCAGTTACCCTTGAGCTCCCACTTTAAGGTCCATAAATACCCTAAGGAAAAATCTACTGCAGTGGTGTACTCAGTCCTCTTTTGCTGAGGCACCCTGCTGCACTCCTCTGCAGCATTCTTTCCATCTAATACAACTTTTCTTTTCAAATCTATACAGTTGTTGGTAAATTCTTAATAACCATAAGCCAATCACACTCCACTGCCTGGGCTCTGACAGCTCACATGGCAGTCCATATAAATACACAGTCTGCAAATCCATGTAACCACAAAAAGAAAACGATAAAGAGAGCTACATAGAGGAAAATAGAGAAAGGAAGGAAAAATGCATGAGGTTAGATACATTCTTAAGTGGAATAACAGCCGCATCTTGGAGTAGTTTAATCTTGCCACCAAAACTTTTAAAAATGTGTTTATTTTCATAATTGTGTATATAATCCAGGATCTTACCCCTTAATATTCATTCTAATACATAAGATAGAATTAATCTGAAGACCTAAAATAGTCCTCGAAGTGGAGACTTTTTAACCCTTCTAGGAAAGTTTTATCACCTTGGGTAGATTTTTTCCTCCAGATAATCTTGAATTAATTTTACAATGAAAAGTATTACAAGTATTACTGGTATTTTATTAAATTGTATTCAATTTATGCGTTGACATGTATATATTCAATAACATTATTTTTATCCAAAAGAGTTTGTCTCTGAATTTATTCATTTTTTCCTCAAAAAATATTACCACTTTTGCAAGTTGTTTATTCTCTGTCATTCTCTCTCAGTAATGGCAATAAGTTGTAGAGTTTGTCTCTTTGTGTAATCTTTCTCAGAAGTTTTGTTCACTTTTTAAAATTGTTTTTTCTTTATTTTTATCTCACAGTGTTAATTCAAAGAACCAGTCTTTGAGCTCAGAGATATCTTCCTTAGCTTGGTCTATTCTGCTGTTAATACTTCCAACTGTATTATGAAGTTCTTCTAGTGAATTTTTAACTCTAGAGTTTCAGTTTGGTTCTTAAGGTGGCTATTTTGTCTTTCAGCTCTTTTATCATTTTACTGGATTCCACAATTGGATTTCAAATATGTCCTGAATCTCAATGAGCTTCCATGACATCCAGATCCTGAGTTCTATGTCTGTCATTTCAGTAATTTCCTATGGGTTAGGAATCATTGCTGGGAAACGCACAATCAAACCTTGAGTGACCTTGAATGTAAATGGGTTAAATGCCTCAATTAAAAGGTATAAAGTGGCAAGTTGGATAAAGAAGCAAGACCCAACTGTGTTCTCTCTACAAGAGACCAATCTCACATGCAGTGACATCCAGGGGTTCAAAATAAAGGGATAGAGAAAAATAGACCAAGCAAAAAGAAAACAGAGAAAAGCAAGTGGTCTGATTCTAATTTCAGACAAAACAGATTGTAAACTGATAACAATCGAAAAAGACAAAGAAGGGACAAAGAGTTAAACTCAACAAGAAGACTTAACAATCCTAAGAATATATACATCCAACACAGAAGTACCCAGACTTATAAAGGAAGTTCTTAGAGACCTTTGAAGAGACTCTGATAATGACACAATACTACTGGGAGACTTCAACACCCCACTGACAGTAGTAAGAGCATTGAGACAGAAAATGAACAAAGAGATTCAGGACTGAGTTCAACATTTGACAAAATGGTCCTAACAGACGTCTACAGTACTCTCCACCCAAAAACATTACAATATACATTCTTCTCATCTGCATATGGCATATACTCTAAAATCAACCACAAGATCGATCATAAAACAATTTTTGGCAAATTCAAAAAATCCAAAATCATACAAACTACACTTTCTCAGATCACAATGCAATAAATATTGAAATCAATACAATAAAATACATCAAAAGCATACGTGAAAATGAACAAACCTTATTCTGAATGACTTTTGGGTGAACAACAAAATTCAGGCAGAAGTCAAGAAATTCTTTGAAACTAATGAGAACAAACAATCTACATATCAAAATCTCTGGCACACAGATAAAGCAGTATTAAGAGGAAAGTTTATATCAATAAAAGGAAAAAAAAACCCCTACATCAAAAGGTTGGAAAGATTTCAAATTAACATCCTAACATCACACCAAGAGGAACTAGAGAAACAAGAGCAAATCAGTACCAAAGCTAGCAAGAGAGAGGAAATAACTGAAATCAGAGCTGAACTGAAAGAAATTGAGATGCAAAAACCCATACCAAAGATTGACAAATCCAGGTTTTGTTTCTTCAAAATAACAAATCAGATTGATAGAGCACTAGCTAGACTAATAAAGCAAAAAAGAGAGGAGATAATGACAAAGGGAACATTACCACCAACCCCAAATAAATTTTTTTAAAAAAACCCTCAGAGACTACTGTGAACAACTCTATGCACACAAACTAGAAGAAATGAGTAAATTATTAGAAACATACAACCTCCTAAGATTGAAGTAGGAAGAAATTGAAACCCTGAACAGACTAATAACAAGTTTCAAGATTGTGTTAGTAATAAAAAGCCTACCAACCAGCAAAAGCCCAGGACCAGAAGGATTCACAGCTGAGTTCTACCAGATGCACGAAGAAGAGCTGGTACCTTTCCTACTGAAACTATGCTGAAAATTTGAGGAGGAAGGACTCCTCCCTAATTTATTCTATGAGGCCAACATCATTCTGATACCAAAACCTGGCAGAGACACAACAAAAAAGAAAACTCGCAAAAAAAGAAAATAACTAGCAAGTTGAATCCAACAGCACATTAAAACTCTAATCCACCACAATCAAGTAGGCTTTATCCCTGGAACGCAAGATTGGTTCAACATATGCAAATTAGTAAATGTGATTCACTACATAAACAGAACTAAAAACAAAAATCATCTAATCTTCAACAAGGCTGACAAAAACAAGCAATGGGAAAAGCACTCCCTATTCAATAAATGGTGCTGAGATAACTAGGTTTTCAGTTTCATATGCAAAAAACTGAAACTGAACCCCTCCCTTATAGCATATATGAAAATCAATCCCACATGGATTAAAGACTTAAATGTGAAACCTGGAAGATAACCTAGGAAATTTCATTCTCAGCATAGCCCCTAACAAAGATTTCATGACAAAGGTGACAAAAGCAAAACTTAATAAATGTGACCTAATTAACCTAAAAAGCTTCTGCACAGCAAAATAAAATATCAACACAGTAAACAGACAACCTATAGAATAGGATAAAATATTTGCAAATGCACGCCTGTAGTCCCAGCTACTCGGGACACTGAGGCAGAAGAATTGCTTGAACCCAGGAGGCAAAGGTTGCAGTGCGCCAAGCCTGCACCACTGCCCTCCAGCCTGGTGACAGAGCGAGACTCCGTCAAAAAAAAAAAAAAAAGTAGTCAAGGCTGGACGCAGTAGCTCATGCCTATAATCCCAGCACTTTGGGAAGCCGAAGCGGGTGGATCACCTGAGGTCAGGAGTTCGAGACCAGCTTGGCCAACGTTGGGAAACCCCGTCTCTACTAAAAATACAAAAATTAGCCAGGCATGGTGGTGGGCGCCTGTAATCCCAGCTACTGGGGAGACTGAGGCAGGAGAATCTCTTGAACCCAGGAGGTGGAGGTTGCAGTGAGCTGAGATCGCGCCACTGCACTCCAGCCTGGGTGACAAGAGTGAAACTCCATCTCAAAAAAGAAAAAGAAGACATACACATGGCCAGGAAGCATATGAAAAAAATGCTCAACATCACTAATCATTAGAGAAATGCACATCAAAACCACAATGAGATACCATCTCACACAAGTGAGATGGGCTATTATTGAAAAATCAAAAAATAATAGATCATGCTGGTGAGGTTGCAGAGAAAAGGGAATGCTTTTGCATTGCTGGTGGGAATATAAATTAGTTCAGCCATTATGGAAAACAGCGTGGCGATTTCACAAAGTACTTAAAACCAAGTAGCATTCAACCCAGCAATCCCATTATTGGGTATATACTCAAAGAAATATAAATCATTCTACCACAAAGACACAGGCACACGTATGTTCATCGTAGCAATATTCACAATAGCAATGTCATGGAATCAACCTGGATGCCCAACAATGGTGAACATGATAAAGAAGATGTGGTACAAATATACTATGGAATACTATGCAGTCATAAAAAAGAATGAGATCATATCCTTTGCAGCAACATGCATGGAGCTGGAGGTCATTTTCCTGAGTGAACTAACATAGGAACAAAAAACTAAATACTACATGTTCTTATAAATTGGAGATAAACGTTGAATACACATGAACACGAAGAAGGGAACAACAAATACTTGGGCATTGTTGAGATTGGATGGTGGGAAAAGGGTGAGGATCAGAAAACTGCCTATCAGGTACTATGCGTATTACCTGGGTGATAAATCCGTTCACTAAACCCCCATGACAAGCAATTTACCTATATAACAAATCCGCACATGTATACCTGAACCTAAAATAAAAGTTAAAAAATTAAAACACAAAAAGTAAAAGTTATCCCAAAACAAGCAAATAAATAAGGAAAGCAACAAAAAACAAACAAACAAAAAATCATTGCTTGGGGTCTGGTGGACTCATTTGAAAGTAAGGGGACACTGGCTTTTTGAATTGTCAGAGTTCTTGCACTGATTCTTTCTCATCTGGAAACACCTGCGTTCCTTTACCTGTGGTATAATTTGAGTATAGTCAGTTGGCTTGGTTTCTGAATGTTTTCAGATAGCCAAGGCTTGGTGCAGGGTCTTTATTTGTGGCTGGATTCTTGCCTTTGATTTCACTGAGGGATATTAGCAAACTATTTTTGGTGTTGTAGCAGTTTTGGCTTCAATCCAGTAGATGTCGCTTAAGAGTAATGGACTGTAGATAAGCTCTTGCTCAGGCCTGTGGTTCCTTTGTGCTTCCTCACATCTACAGCCTAGTATCCGGGACAGTGGGGAAAGAAGTGACTCCCTCACCAGGTCCGCTCCTGAGCCTTGGGGGAACCCCCTCTGGTCACTAGCACTGCACCCTCATTTCTTTTGCTAGGTGTTCGAGGCTGCGGGACTCGCTCAGGCAGAGGCCACCGCAAGGAGAGAGGCCACACCTTTTCCAGGCTCGTCCTGCAGAGGGAGGCCTACCCTGCTCCCACAGCAGCCCGGGAACCCACGCGGTTACCCCTCAGTGCTCTGAGAGTGTGGGTTTCTCTTTCCGCTCTAATGTTGGACCTGGGAGGAGCTCGGGCTTTTTTTTTTTTTTTTTTTTATTTTTTTTTTATTATTATTATACTATAAGTTGTAGGGTACATGTGCATAACGTGCAGGTTTGTTACATATGTATACTTGTGCCTTGTTGGTGTGCTGCACCCATCAACTCGTCATTTACATCGGGCTTTTTATTCCCTCCCCAGCTTGGAGGAGTAGGGGGCGGGACCTTGACAGTGGCAATGGCAGAGAACTTGTCAGTTGTCTCTGGGAACTCCACCCCAGAGAAATTCAGAGCCGCTGCCAGTCAGAATGATCAGCCCGGGATGGGACGTTTGTGCTGTGGGCCCAAGTCGGGGGCCGTCCCTGGTGAAGAGCAGAGGGACCAGGGGCTTGTTGGGGGGGACTGTCTGGCCTCCTCTCCATAGGGCAGCTGTGACGTGCTGGATATGCAAGCAGAGCAAGCAGGCTCTTTGTTCCCTTCCTAGCCTGCAGGTGGCAGCAGTGGCAGAGGGTCTGCCAGCTGCCTCTGGCAACTCCACCCAGAGAAACGCAGAGCTACTGCCCAGGGGAAGGATCCAGGGGCGACGCGGTTGTTCTGTGGGCCCAAGGCGGGCCCTGTCTGGTGAAGAGCAGCGGGGGTCAGGGGCCCGCAAGGAAGACAATCTGGCCTTCTCTCCCTAGGACAGCTGCAGTCAGGCTCTTTGTTCCCTACCTAGCCTGCGGGGAGCAAGGAAGGGCCTTACACTCAGCTGGTGATGGCACAGAGCCTGCCGGTTGTCTCTGGAAGCTCCATCCCAGAGAAACTCAGGGCCACCGCCAAATGAAAGATCAGGTGGGGGTGGGGCAGTTGTGCTGGGACCCCAGGCAGAAGGCCTTGCCCAGTGAGGAGTAGCTGCGACAGGGACCAACGTGGAAAATAATCTGGCCGCTCTTCCGTATGACAGCTGTTTGACAGCTGCCTTGCTGAAGGTCTAGGATAGCTCCTGTGCTCTTGATCCCTCCCCAGCCTGAGGGCAGCACGTGGCAGACCACAGTACCAGACATCTCAGGCCTATTGGTTACTTCTGAGAGTTCCTTCCCAAAGAAATGGAGAGCCCTGACTGGCCTGAGTGCTCAGGTGGGACTGGGGTGGCTGCGTGGGCGACCCAGGGCGGTGGGCTTTGCCTGGCATGATGAAGCAAGTGGGGCCTGCAGTCATTCTGCTCTTCAGCACCATGGATGCAGTCCCTATTCTAGGGGCACGCAAGAGAGCTGGCCTCCCTTGTTGGTGGGGCTATGGCAGCTGGCACCAGGGTGCTCAGGGCCCCAGGGCTCATGGGGCTCCAGGTGAGCCTAGCTGCAGCTCTGCCCAGACTCCAGTAATCTCTCTGTGTTGGTCTGGAGGCCCCCCGGGGTCACTGGAGATCTCCTGTGCCAGGACTGCAATGGCCCATGGCAGAAGTGTGGGTCCCAGGAGGTTCTTATTCACACTTTCCCCATGGTAGGGAGCCTCCCCGGGCTCTATGCCAATCCTGGGTGGCCTGCTTTCCTGCCTGGCCCCTTTCTGCTGTCGGTGGATTGCAGTTGCTTCCTTGATGAATCCTAACATGGCCTCATGGAGGAGCCACTTGAAGAGCTAGTGTTTACTCACCACCTTGTCTCCCTCTCCATGAGTGGCACATGATAGCTCCTTCTGGCACCTCTCCCTAGTCTGTACTTTTTGATTGATAATACATGAGCAACATTCTAATGCCAATCAAAATCAGTGGTTTTTATTTCTGTGGTTGATTTTTAACGGTAAGCTTACTATCATGTTTATAAGCCTTTTCGTTTTTTCCTTTGTTCATTGCCCACATTTCCTTCTATGTACCTATTTCATATTCATTTAAGCAAATTATGTATTAGATCGATTTTTATCATTTATATCAATTTTTAATAATTTTTATTTTAATTTGTATGCATGGATGCTCTCTTATACAATCTTGGAGTAGGGAGAAAATATTCAATTTACATGCAAACCCTATAATCGTGCAGAAAATAATCTTCACATCTATATGTGACAGAAATATTTTCAGCATTTTTCTGCCTTTTGCCCATATAAACTTTTTCATTTTTACATATCAAAATATGTAGAAGATATCAAGATTTAATATATCTTTTTATTTTCATTTTCTTTGTCAAACTGCAATGGTCTTTCTCACCTCCAAGATTGCAAACTTTTTATCCTATATTTTACCACCATTTTTGTTTGTTTTCTGAAGAAGCTGTCAACATATAGACAGGTTTGTCGAAAACTTTTGCCACTAGCATTACAGATTCTATCAAATATACGAAATTTAATTTAGAAAAAATAATTAGAGAGAGAGAGATAATACCATGAGAGGTGCTCTCTACAATTCTCTTCGTGTCAGACCATGGCTGATTGATGTGTTCCTTGAGCCAAGAGCTGGGAAAGTGGCTTCTTGTCCTCTTGGTCTCCTGGTTATTGCAGGGATAGATCACTTAGCAGGTTAGTTCTACGGTGTTTTTCTGGCAACAATTTCTATAATAGATGCCCAGCATAAATAATGGTCTTCTACACTTGAACAATTTTATAAGTACCTAATTTCTCACATTAGACCCCACTATTAATACAGGACTTATTAAGAAATTACTTTTAGGCAGCTAGAAAGGGTAAAAGAGTCCTCAGAAAGGCTTTTCCTTTTAATAAAAAAGCAGCCTCCAAACCATTTTTCTAACAGAAAGCAGCCTGAAAAGCCATGCTACAAGCATAGATATGTACATTGCAGGCTTGCAGAAGTAAATGCAGGTGGCTAAGAGCCAGGTCCACTCAATATGACTGTTCCCGCTCGCTTTCCTTTGTTGCCACATGTGCCGGTGTCATGGCACCAGCCCAGTAAAGCCACATGTACAGGCATCATGGCGACAGCCAGGTAGAAGCCGCATTTGCAGAATAAAAGATTAGGGTGGGAGGGCCAGTCTTTTCATGGGTTGTGTGAATGACAGACACACCTGGTCAAATGAATCCGCTGGGCCCTATGCAAATCAGACACCACCTCTCTGAGCCTCCCAATATAACTGACCACTTTCCCCGCAAGTGGGGCTATTCCATTCAAAGCCCTTCTCCCTCTCTATGGGGGAGCTCTTCTCTTCTTTCTTGCCTATTAAACTTTCTGCTCCATAACCCACTCCGTGTGTGAGTCCGTGTCATTAATCTGCACAGCACAAGACAAAGAACTGCAGGTATTTCCCCAGACAACGAAGCTGCTTCACTATGTTGGAAATACCTGGAGTGATTTATGTAATATACAATATAATCTGTAGTACTAAGTATCTAATAATGTCTAATAATCATTGTGAAGCGCTAAAGAAAAAATAAGTGAAATAATTTCATGACATTTTACCATGAAACAAATTGGCTTCCTTTCTTCTCTCTCTACCAAATTTGAGAGGCAAATATATATTTATTTATATATTGATTAAACATATATAAAATATATATTTATAAATATATAAAAATATATTACATATTTTATATATGTATATGTAAATATCGGGAGAACCCACTCCCGATGGTTATGTGGGTTCTTTTCTATTTCCTAAGTGTCTTAGCTGGTTTGAGAAATTAAGGGAAAGAGCACAAGAGAGAGAAATTTAAAGCTGGGTGTCTGAGGGAGACATCACATGTTGGCAGGATCTGTGATGTTCCCTGAGTAAAGTCAGCAAGTTTTTATTAGCAATTTTCAAAAGGGGAGGGAGTGCACGAATAGGGTGTGCGTCACAGAGATAACATGCTTCACAAGGTAATAAAATATCACAAAGCAAATGGAGGCGGGGCGAGATCACAGGACCACCGGATGAGGTGAAATTAAAATTGTTAATGAAGTTTCGGGCACACATTGTCATTGATAACATCTTATCAGGAAACACGGTTTGAGAGCAGACAACCTGTCTGACCAAAATTTATTAGGCAGGAATTTTCCTCCCTCTAATAAGCCTGGGAGCACTACAGGAGACGGGGGCTTATTTCATCCCATCAGCTTCGACCATATAAGATGGCATGCCTTAAAGGGGCTGTGTATAAGGCTACCTTCAGGACGCATTCTCTTTCTCAGGGATGTTCCTTGCTGAGAAAAAGAATTCAGTGATATTTCTCCTATTTGCTTTTGAAAGAGGAGAAATATAGCTCTGTTCCTACCGGCTCACCGGCGGCCAGTTCAAAGTTATGGCTCTCGTTCCCTGAACATCGCTATTATCCTGTTCTTTTTTTAGATGCCCAGATTTCATATTGTTCACACACACATCCTCTACAAACAATTTGTGCAGTTGACACAATCATCACAGGGTCCTGAGGTGACATTCATCCTCCTCAGCTTATGAAGAAGATGATGGGATTAAGAGATTAAAGTAAAGACAGGCATAGGAAATTATACGACTATTAATTTGGGGAACTAATAGATCCATGAAATCTTCACAATTTATGTTCAGAGATTGCAGTAAATACAGGCATAAGAAATTATAAAAGTATTAATCTGGGGAACTAATAAATGTCCACAAAATCTTCACAATTTATGTTCTGCCACGGCTTCAGCCGGTCCCTCTGTTCAGGGTCCCTGACTTCCCACACATGTAAATATAGATATTTATAAAATATATATAAACATTAAAATTATATAATTTTTA